CCTGGGGAGAACCCTGTTTTGGTATTCTCAAATACTCTAGTTTAGCACGCGTGCGAACTGTACGTACCGGGGGTCCCAAACAAGGATTGTGCACAATACAGTGATCCTGTGTTTACACAGCTTGACATACGCATCTCTGAATCGAGAGTACACTGATCTGTCCTACTTGAAATACTGTATGTGATACTGCAGTACTTCTGTATTGGGTTTTACGCTTACAAAACATGTGATTGATTCCAATTAGCGATTGGAATTGTAGTATAACTAGTGTGTTGGGGATGAATTGCCCGACATGCCTTCTGATATACCTGGGAAGAACCCTGTATTTACATATAAATGTATATTCGGGTCAACAAATGCTGCTTCATAAATTTACATATAATGCATATAATCATAAATAAAATGCTACATAAAACAAGTAATGTACCGTAGTTATCGAAATATCGAAAAAAAGCATACGTTGTATTGCAACGTATGCAGTCACAATGGACTACATTTGAAAAAAATCGATACGTCTCAAGGTTGTGGATTGTTTGTTTGAGAAATAATTCAACTCACCGAAGTCTTGTATTTGAGTTGTTGTTATAGCGAAGGGGACCTCGAAAATGCACCAACACACCCCGTAACTAACACACGGGCCGTATTCGATAACTACGAGCGTTTTGGTGATTAAAAACAACTGCTTTTTATCGGTAGCAGTCTCTCCCTCCACGACCCTGCGTTTGGCACCGGCTGCATACTTCTAGTTCTACTAGTGTCACTACTGACATCCGGTTCACTGGCACCGGCATCAGCAACAACGCGCCAAGCGGACTAGAATAAAAACTAGGCCTACCTCAGAAAAAGAGTAAAAACGTTGACAGGGGCGTTGAGGCGATGTGTTACGAACGAACAGAGATATTTACCTTCACTCCATCACGGTTAGCAGCGGCGATCGGATACAAGACGCGTTAATTTTATCAATTAGCAAAGGAGAATATAAACGCATTTATTCCGGTGCGCTTTGTTCCTTCTGCGGACAAGTGAGCATGTGTACGCCACACGTCACTGTTCTCTTGTTCAGCACGCTGTGCTTTATGGGATTTGTATACAGCGATGGCCGACGAGTGAGTATTGATTTCTTGTGGAAAATTCTTACGAGCGAGATTTATGGCCGATTTTGAGTGAAAACTAATTATTAGAGTGTAGTTTTAATCTTAGTTATTGTTAGGTTAAGCTGAAACTGTTTAATCGATTCAACTTTCCGTAGATACCCTGTAATATTTCTTTTATCACTCATGATGTACACGTCACGATAATAATTCGAAAAGAGAAGAAAACAGTTCGTCTGCTGTTTTCTACATCGTAAATTTTTTATCATAATGACAAGCACTGTAGTTTATGTACTCTGTTGATCGATACCTCAACGTTCTGTGATGAATCGCTACAGAAACGTAACAGCAGCTGGGGATTGCCAAGCAAACCTCGATGAAGGAGAAACAAAACTGGAAGCGACCCTGCAGACGGAGTCGGAAGCGAGGCCGGTGACGCCGGAAATAAAGCTCACGGAACCGGAGGAAATCCTGCTGGAGCCCGGAGTACGACCGGTGACCCCGGAAATAAAGCTCACCGAACCGGAAGAAAGTTTGCTGGAATCCGACGATAGTTTGACGACCCGTGACATAATCCCACCGGAACCGGAAACTGATCGAGCGGAGGCCGAACCGAGCGAGACGAAACCGGAAGAAATCGGAACAAACCCGGAATCGAGCGCTACGTCCCCGCAAGCGAGCCAAACGGAACCGGAAGAAAGTCGGACGGAATCGGAACCCGTCCCGCCGTCGCGAGTCGGTCGCAGGGTCGCCGTGGTTGCGGCGGTTGTCGTGGCGATCATCGCGGCACTGTGGCAGGTGGAAGCGCCGGAGGATCGGACGCCCCTGGTGGACAAGTCAGTCGTGCTTAGCCTTAGCCAACCCCATCTTTTCAGCCTCGTGTCTGACTTGGAGAGAGTGCCTCAGGTAAAGGGGAGAGGGTGTCTCAGGTAAAGGGGAGAGGGTGCCTCAGGTAAAGGGGAGAGGGTGTCTCAGGTAAAGGGGAGAGTGTGCCTCAGGTAAAGGGGAGGGTGCCTCAGGTAAAGGAGGGGGTGCCTCAGGTAAAGGGGAGAGGGTGCCTCAGGTAAAGGGGAGGGTGCCTCAGGTGAAGGAGGGTGTGCCTCAGGTAAAGGGGAGAGGGTGCCTCAGGTAAAGGGGAGGGTGTGCCTCAGGGAAAGGAGGGTGTGCCTCAGGTAAAGGGGAGAGGGTGCCTCAGGTAAAGGGGAGGGTGTGCCTCAGGGAAAGGAGGGTGTGCCTCAGGTAAAGGGGAGAGGGTGCCTCAGGTAAAGGGGAGGGTGTGCCTCAGGGAAAGGAGGGTGTGCCTCAGGTAAAGGGGAGAGGGTGCCTCAGGTAAAGGGGAGGGTGTGCCTCAGGGAAAGGAGGGTGTGCCTCAGGTAAAGGGGAGAGGGTGCCTCAGGTAAAGGGGAGGGTGTGCCTCAGGGAAAGGGGAGGGTGTGCCTCAGGTAAAGGGGAA